AAGAAGAAAAGTTCATAACATCTAAAAGATGATATGTTGTGAAGCCAATTTTATTCACATTCAAATCAAAATGCACAATATAAATTTATTTGCAGTCTTCAATATTTTTGGATTATTTCATAAGGGGATTTTAGGGCTCTAGGTGGAGACTCTTGCTTTGGGAAAGAGATTTATGGGAACATATTGACGATATTGATGTTTCTTAAGAGCCAAAGATGTTATAATTTATTGAAGTAAGACATTATTTACCGGCAAATGTTATAGTTAACATATTAAATCTCTACAAAAATGTACATCAATTGCTGATGATGGTGGTAAGACTTGTAATACTTTATGGCGTATAATATTGATCATTAAAAGAGAAGTAGTAAAGCTTATTTGTGATTATGCCTATTATTGGTCTCTCATTCTTCTTTTTTTACCTTTGAAATTATACTATTTTTTTGGGTTCTGAATGGGCAGAGTTGGATGCCTTAATCTGTAAAAGTTCATATAACATTACCATTTTGATATGTTGCTTATGTGGATGTGAGAAATTTTAGTGGACATTCAGGTTTAGTATTTTTTTTTTTTAATTTGGACATTTGTAGCGGTTTTAAAACCACCTTAATACTAGAAATAAGTTTATCTGGATAGATTTTGAGGTGAATATAACCAGTGCAAATCTATAGATTTGTATTGGTTATGATTGATCCTAAATTCAGCACTTCATCAGAACTATCCCGTCGGTCCTTAAACTATTATGGAATGTCATTGCATCGCATTGCAATTACAGCGGGGATGAAGCGATTTTAAAATTATTTTTAAAACTACTTCAAAGAAAGTTGTGGCATTTATAACTGTCGAAATAGGCCAAACATTATGCTACGATAGGCCTATTTTTTAATAGTGGTTGTACTACACACAACTTCATCAATCAAGCCATAATTACTAAGTACATATTGCATGTGCTTCGGAATAAAAAGCTTCAAGTTATGGTGGCAAACAAAGAAAAAATCGAATGTATCAGGCAGTCGCAGTTGCTACCAATCAACATTCAAGAACATTTAGTAACTGCAAACTTTTTTTTTTTTTTTTGACAATATCCTTGTGTGCTCAAGACCTTGGGAATTTTTTTAGCCGATTATTGTTTTGTTTATTTACTTAGTTTTTATTTTGTTTATAGAAATAAAAAAAGAATGCTCATGAAGGATGCTAGTTAGGTTAGTGGAGGCAATTGGTTTTCTATTTTTTAGCATAGATAAAATAGGATTGTGAAATGCATAATTGTTGCGTCCTGGCATATTCACAGCGCTAGAGAAGTATAAAGTTTAATTTCTTATCATTCTATGAAGATCTGGCACACAAATAGATGAAAGAGATTGTATAGTATTCCTAAGAGACACCAAAATTTTTACATGGAAAATCCTGAAAAGGGGAAAAATCATGGGGCTTGGCCCAGTTTTAATGAATCCACTATTATTTGTATTTGATTACAAATGAGGCTTTTCCTTGGGGGAAGGCATTGGCTTGATGTAATAAATATACCTCATATAAATTGCATTACATGAGGGGACTTGAAATAATCATTATTTATATGTTTGCTTGATCGGTAGAATTATAGTCGGCGGGCGACGGAGGTTGGCAAGACCGTAGTCTTGTGACGGTAGTCAGAGGGACGGAAGTCGATGGGCGACAGTGGATTTATTAAAGCTGGATAAAATAATTAAAATATACATACTTCTAATAAAAATAAAATTCACGATGAGCAATTACCCGCCTTAAACTCTTCTTGATTCTACCTTGATTGTTTGTTTTAAATTCTTTGAGACTATTCTATATAATGGAAAAAAAAGGATGAAAATGGAAGGAAGAGTTAAAGAACAAACAGTCCAATCTTCCTTCCCCAATCTTCTTTCCAATTCTCCTCTTCTTCCTCCATAAAAATGTCCCACATTTTATGAAGAGCATGTGGAAAACGGCAACCAGCAAGACCGCCTAGAAGCTTCGTCGTTAGTATTTCAACCATGGATGATGATGACGCCTACGTGGCAGGGCCCCACTTCATTTATCTAACAGAAAACCTCCACGTTTTAAATTTTTAAAATTATGGAAGATTGTTGACCTCCAAGTCAAATCTTGTTACAGATATCTCAATTTGGTTTCCATTTTGACTAAGATAGCTCATTAAGCATTTATTTGTGACACAACTCAGCTTGGTCTATTAGTTCGGAGTTTAGGCTATCAACTAAGAGATCTTGATTTTCAGTCTTGTGTATGCGATGTATGTGTGAATCTGCTTTAATTTACTTAAATGTCCCAAAAAAAAATTATTTTAGATAATTTTATTTTTTAATAAAAATTGTAGTTCTTTTTTTTTTAATTTTGTTGGCTTCTTTAATTTTTCTAAGCCAAAAGTAATAGTTATTAAGAAAAAATTATTAAATTGAGATGGTTATAATAAAGTTGTGATCCTTTTTTTTTCAAGAAAAGTAATATATACTTGTTGCGTCCAGGAGTATTCGCGGCGGTAGAGAAATATAAAGTTTTTCGTCTTAGCGTTGTACAAAATCTGGCACGCAATCAGATAAGGAGAGAGGGTCTAGCATTTATGAGACACCAAGATTTTTACGTAGAAAACCCCTGTAAAAGGGAGAAAAACCACAGGGCCTAGCCCAGTTTGAACGAATCCACTAGTATTCGTAGTCGATTACAAATGAGGCCCTTCCTTGGGAGAAGGCCTTAGCTTGATGTACATCTTATGGAGTACATTACATGATGTAAATACAAAGATCTACTATCGACGTATTCGCTTTGTTAGAAGGACTGAAGTCGGCGGGGGACGTAGGTCAGGAGGACCGTAGTCAGCTGGCGACAGAGGACTGTAATCGGCGAGCGACGTAAGTCAGGAGGACCGTAGTCGACGGGCGACGGAGGTCGGAAAGACTGTAGTCGGCGGGCGACATAAGTCGGGAGGACCATATTCAACGGGCGATGGATGTCGGAAAGACGGTAGTCTGACGACGAAGATCAGTAGGACAGCGTCAGGTAGAAGTCCAGCAATGGAAAGAAATGCATCTTTGCGTAGACGTCCAGCGAAGTCCGATAACCGGTAGAAGTCCGGCGTCGGGTAGAAACTTGGCGAAGAGTGAAGGTCCGACGTCGGGTAGAAGTCCGACGTCTTTGGTGGCAGAGGAGAACTCCGGCTTCACTTGGCCGGAGTTTCGACGTCAGGAGGGAACTCTCTTGTAAATTGGGAAGAATTTCAGCATCACGTGGAAAGTTGGGCCGAATTCATGCATTCTCCCGAAATTATCATGCATAATCCCGACTTGTTCGGGTGGCAGGATGAACTCCGGCGGTGGTCGAGGAGGCTGAGAAATTCCCTTTTCCCTTTCTCCTCTTCTTCTTCTCTCTCTTCACTCCCTCTCCTTGGTGTAGAATGAGGGCTCTATTTATAGTTTTTCTGGAGTGGCATAGCCCGTAAATAGGCGTGAGATCAGGGGCGAATTGGGAGTGGTTTGAAAGGACGGCCGATATCGAATCCTTTGATCATGCACCGTTCGTTGGATGTTTGAAGGCCTTAATGATGTCGGAATTCGATGATCTTGGGCTCGTTGGATTCGTCTCATCGAGCCGTTAGATTCGAGTATAAGCTCGTCAAAATCGGAGACCGTTTGGTAACTGAAATTGCGGTTTAAACCTTCCAACAGTGCTTTGAGCCCTTGATTCGGACTCATTTGGGCTCGGATTGGGTTGATCTTGGTGTCGTTGGGTCGTATTTATGAGACGCTCAGTTTGACTGTAATCTCGCTGAAACCGGAATTCATATGCTCCCGAAATTAATTTTTTGAAGTTTCCGAACTGATTTTGCCTCGAGATTCGTGCCCAATCAAGATAATTTTGAGATGACGTATCAATACTTAATAGTTTTCAAATAGGAGAATTTATATTCATAATACTTATTTATGATATGCATAATATTTTTGAAAAAATAATAATTCATACAAATAATATTTGTCTATTTACTAACTACCACATCTTGTTATTTTACTTCTGGAAGCCTTTGATGACAAAGGGGGAAGTTAGGATGAGATCTTAGCACGGAAATGCATCGATGAGATCAGAGGCGGAACCATCTAGCCCACAGAGGGGGGGGGGGGGGGGGGGCAATTGTCCTCCCTAAAAAAATTAAATATTATTTATTCTATGGATATTTAGGTAATTTGTTCCCCTCCATCCTTTTTTTACTCTTTATTATAAGAGTTTTTAGGCAAGTGCCCCCACTAAAAAAATTAAAATACTATTATCTTTAGGTGATTGCCCCCCTAGTAGAATTAAGCACATTGTATAGATCTATTATTTATAAATTTGCTCCCCTAAAAGTCAAGGCCGATTTCGCCCCTGGATGAGACCAGGGACATTTGAACGTCTAAAATGAAGAAGAGCAGAGAAATTCACAATGTGATCACCCTGCAAAAGTGCAGGGACAAGACTGTAGCGTGTGCGTCGATGGAGAGATAAGGGATATGTAGAAGAAGATGATATTTTCAATGTTATATAAATAATTTAATGTTATATGAGCAAATAAATAGTATTCGGTGTTAGATATTCGATTCAAAGTTATTGAAAGCCCAAAAAAAATCTAATTTTCAGCCTAAACTCATAACAAAAAAAATGAGAAAATAGCTGTTTTAGTTTTTCAATTCAATCACATCAACAAACAGGAAGTCCTTTTGCTTGTAGGAGTTTACCATCATATGCAAAAATGGTATCTTTCTCTGGCCATGGAGGAAGCCACCGAAAGTATTTGCAAAGGACTGCAATTTTGGTTTATGTGAACTAACAATAAGACTAACTGATGCTCACAAATCCAACAAGTATTTGAAATAACACATTAAAAGAATGCTCTTTTAAAGGATTGGAAAATTTTTTTTAAAATTATCAATTCAAGTAGAGAAGCTAGCCCTTCTTATAAATACTAATATGTCTAAGAGAATTTCTATTAAGTTCATACACAGCTCTCTCTCTCTCTCTCTCTCAATCTTGCTTATAGTTTTTCTTGGCTCTCTTTTAGCCAACAATGGAGATAGGTAGTATAGTAGAGTACTTGGAGGAGAAGAGCATCCTTGTCACTGGCTCCACTGGTTTTCTAGCAAAAAGTATTATATACCTCAAAACCCATGACCTTGTGCATATGAATGAACATTTGATTTTTATCCCATATTATATTCTTTAGCATTGAGTACTTAGTTTTGTTATTGCTCTATTGTTGTGTTTGAAGTTTTTGTGGAGAAGGTTTTGAGAGTTCAGCCCAATGTGAAGAAACTCTTCCTCCTCGTGAGGGCTAGTGACGCAAAGTTAGCCACAGAGCGCTTTCAAAATGAGGTATATCTCCTCCAACATTTCATTTAACATTGAGGTTTTGTTTGGGACAGCTTTTGTATTGTTTTATAAGATTGTTTTTTAGTACAAAAAATTTTAAAATTAAAAATTTTTGTACTAAAAAGCTGCTTCAAAAAATAGTGAGAAAGTCGTTCCAAACAAAACTTGAGTCGAGTTCGAATAAGCCGACCTTGATTTGAGTCAAAGCTTTGGACTTTGGGGAAAGTGGAGTGAGAAAAATGATTTATTTCCAATTGATTTGAAAATCTATTAGTTTTCTTCAAAAATGTTTTTTCATCCTTAAAAAAAAAAATTAAATGATTGAGAATAAAAGAGTTAACTTTCAGCTATTTTAAAGATAGAGAGAGATAAATTTTTATCATTTTAAAATGATACATGCGCTTTTTTAAAAATTCATAATAAATGGCTACAATTGCATGATAAGTTTATTATTTTTTAAAATATAAAGAATTTTAAGTATATGAGTTTGTATTAAATAATTTTAATTGGTAAAATATTGTCAAATTAAACTTTCACAATAGCATCTTCTTAGGAAGAGAAAGTCCACTAATCAATGGTTTTGCAAATTTCTAGGTATTAGTCCTATAAAACCACATAAATCTTTATTTGATAGCATAACAATGACCTTGCATATCTTTCAAAATGCAAGTAAATGTTCAATAAATTAAAAATCTATAACTCCCTCAATGTAGAGGTGTCAAAATGGGATAATAGGTTGGGTTCAAGACCAACCCTAAATTGACCCGCTTTAAATTCATTTGACTTGAACCCAACCTGTCAAAATCCTAGACTTGAAGCCGACCCAACAATAGCCCGTTTGACCTGACTAGATCCATTAGCTCGTTTATACTAAAAAATCTTAATTTTAAGTAAAGTTGGTAGTGCAAAAAATATGAAAATATTAATCCAACCTTCTCAATAGTACCAATTAATAAAGATTAATCAAGAAGATCTTAATATTCAAATTAATATCATATAAATATGTCTAATTATAAAGGAAAATTTCATACTATGTAAAGCACGTCCATTAACATGGGTCAAAAACAAGTCAATTTTAAGTTGGCGGGTTGACTTGAACCTGATCCTTTAATAAAACATGTGAGGATATCAAACATGAGCTTGGAAATTTTAGGTCGAATCTGGGTTGGATTTTCTGGTCATAACATTTATTAATATATCTATCTCAATATTATTTTTTTCATTTATTTACATTTACCTCCCATAGCATTACTACTAATTACAATATTACTAAATTGAATGCTCACTTTTTCATTCAGGTGATTACAAAGGAGTTGTTTGATGTTCTTAAAAAGAAACATGGAAATGACTTTGATTCATTTATATCCAAGAAAGTCCATCCTATTAAAGGAGATATTATTCATGAAAATTTAGGGATTGAGGATTATAATCTCAGAGAAATGTTATGGAAGGAGATTGATATTGTTGTCAATGTGGCTGCAACTACCAATTTTTATGAAAGGTATATATTTGGAAATCTTAATAATTCAAATATTATAGGAAAAGTTTGAGATGAATTAATATTACTTTAAAACTCTAATTATTTTTTTATTATTCACTATTTGTATGATCAATATTTCTAGATATGATGTGGCTTTGAATATCAATGTCTTGGGAGCCAAACATGCATTGGAGTTTGCAAAGCAATGCACAAAATTAAAGATGCTTCTCCATGTATCAACAGGTTAATTAGTCCTAACCAAAAAAAATATATAATCTTTTGATAAAATCTATAATGAATCATAAGAATATGTGCATATATAGATACACACATGAAATTTTCATTTTTACTTGTTTTGGAATTTTGTATTCAATAACCTTTTGTAAATCTCAATAATATTTCACCCTTATTATGATTATATTTGTGTTGATCAGCTTATGTAGCTGGTGTGAAGGAAGGTGTAATATCAGAGAAGCCATTTTGCTTTGGTGAAGCACTGAATAAGGATTTGTATTTAGACATTCAAGGAGAGCTAAAGCTAGTTGAAGAAAGAAAAAAGAAACTCCATGAGAAGAATTCAACAAAAGATGTTGAAAAAGTAGCTATGAAGGATTTGGGCATTGAGAGGTTTGAAATTCCTTTAAGTTTTATGAGTTGTTTAGATATAGCATTCATTTAATAGCCAACTTAATAAAATATTTTGATAATGTTTTGTTTTCTAGCATTTTTTCTCGTGTGATTTCATATTATGTTACTACTAAATATTAATTGATTGAATTGACAACATGTATTAATAATTGTATTTTTCTTAAATGAAACTTTATACTTAATTGCTTGGCACCTATTTGACACCTAAATCAAATGGGAGCTAAAATTCAAGTTATTAATGAAGAAAATCATAATAATTGTTCAGATACTACCAGTAAATCAAAAATATTGCATTTGATAAATAATATTTTTATTTGAATAATAAATTAGTTTTTTTTTTAACTATCATGCAACCACTTTGTAGGGTATTGTTGTTTATCTTTATTCTTGTATTTTTAATATTTCTTGATCTAACTCAACAATCACTTGAGATTGCAGAACAATTGACAGTGTAATACTTGGATATGTAAAGGGGGAGATTTCATGCTTTTTAGGAGATCCAGAAGTAATTCTAGATTTGGTATGTGCTCTTTATTTGTGCGGATGAAAATAATTTAAGGAAAATAAATGTTGTAAAAAAGGCATATTATAGCATAAAGACTTTACAATTAAATGAAATAAAAAAAAACTAAATTACTTTTAATTTTTCTAAAAGTTTTTTTCTTGGTTGCCTATTTTTGTCTTATATTACTATACTGTGATTTTTCTTCCTTTTTCTCCTTTTATAAACTTCATTTTCTTATATGATCCACATAATAATTTGAAGTCTTCTATCTATAAATTTTTAAAGTATGCAAGCATAAGCATCAAACATAATTACGTATGAAGCATCATATGAAAAATTATATTAACCACTTATATGCAATGTATATGTTAATATTATAGTTCCTCAAAGAAAATGTTTGTTTCATAATAAGGCATCTTGATGTTACCTTAACATATAAAATAAAAACAATAAAAGTATATTTACATATGTAAATCACAGCACAATGTTCAGACATACTTCCTTCCATTATCCTTACTTCAAGATTTTAAACTTTGACAGATTCCAGGAGACATGGTGGTGAATGCAATGATTTCAGCAATCACTGCACATTCAAATCAACATTCAGAATTCATATATCATGTAAGTTCATCAGTGAGAAATTTGGTAAAATATTCCACTGTTGAACAATGTGCTTATCAATACATGAAGAAGAATACTCAAACTGGTGGTGATGGCAAGACAATTAAGACAGTTAGATTTCAATTTATGAGAACAATGTCAATTTTTCATAGATACATGTTTCTTCACTATCGCCTGCCTCTTGAGGTAAGTTCTAGTTCTTTGGGTTTTTTATTTATTTGAATTGATTTATAATGGATATGAACATGTCTTGTTTGACAAGTACTTTTAACCATTATTGGCCTATTATTTAAAGGAAAAGAGTTGACATTATATTTATTGGTGTTGTGTCTTCCATGTTTAGGGCTTGCGCTTGATAAATCTAGCCCTTTTTGGATTATTTTCTCAACAATTCAACAAGATATGGAAGAAATATAAGCTTGTGTTCCGCCTAGCTGATATTTATGCGCCATATGCATTCTATAAAGGAAGGTAAGCTGAATTTTATGAGTAATATTTAAGTTTATATGTAACTTATTAAAAAAATTAAACATGTAAGAACATTGGTTATGCCCTTAGAACATTTTCTAATGCAAATATTAATCATAATTGAATTTATAATATTAAAACATTGACAACAATCTTGTTCAATATTTTCTTTGACTGCAGCTTTGATGATTCCAACTTAGAAAGGCTGAGAAAGGCAATGATGAATAGTGATGAAGAGAAGTTGTTTGATTTTGATCCTAAGCACATTGAATGGGATGATTACTTAATCAACATTCACATTCCCGGTGTCCTCAAGCATTTACACAAGTAGATTATTAAACATTCATGTTTCATTTGTATGTCAAGCATTAAATTATGCTTTTTAATTAAGCCATTATTTGTAATCTAATTTGTTGATTGTGAACACATTTATTTATTAGATTTCATATTAAATCAAAGTTATGCTTCCATCAAACTAGCATTCACATCAATATCTGAAATGTATGTCAATAAAATCTTAAGTTCAAAGCTAGCATATATAGTAGACCTGTCAATAATGGACCCGACCCTGCCCCGACTGCCCTACTTGCACGGGTTGCCCCGGCTGCCCTGTGCCCGCCTGCCCGATGCCTAGGCTGCCCGACCGCGTCTTCGCACACATCCCGAGCTCACATCCTGCACGCATCCCAATCTCACGTCGCCGCGCGCCTCGAGCACGAGTAAATTTTTAATCATGGCGAGATCAAGTGCCATAGCTAGTTGAAGGATATTGCTTGGTTTTATTATAAACAAAGAAAGCTCAAAAAGAGGGATTCTCATACTTTAAAAAAGAAAGAGCAGCTTCCAACTAGTACACCTAAGGGAGAAGTTAAGAGATGAGTTTACACATATGGTGCTAATTTTTCAAGACTTTTGGATAGTAAAGTGCTCAACTAGAAGAGATGACTTAAAAGAGATCAACTTTTGATATATTATTTAGTCAATGCAAAGATTTATTACGTATTGACTTTATATTATGCATGAATCACATTGTTAAGTAGTTTCAAATTATCTCATAACTTATATTTTTTATGTTTTTCTAATAGACACCTATCCTCAAATTTCATCCTTTTTTCTCAAAACTTATATATTTTTTTCTCTCATTTAAGTATTTATATTTTTCTTAAATCTTTGAACTTTTTTAATATATTATTTTGTTATTATCAAAAAAATTATCTTTTTTTTTAGAAAGAGCATCTTTAGGTTTGTTGCGTCCTGGAATATACGCGGCAGTAGAGTGAAAAATATAACGTCTTAACAATATACGTATATCTAGCACACCATCTGATAATTAAGGGAGAGAAGCACCATAAACTTTTTACGTGAAAAACCCGAAAAGGCAAAAACCACGGGGCCTGGCCCGGATGAGAAATTTTCACTATATCTGGATTGGTTACAAAGTTTGATTCTCTCCTTTACTTGGAGATGCTGGTGTGCTGGATATACGTATATTGTTAAGGCATTATATTTTTCACTCTACCGCCGCATATATTCCAGGATGCAACAAGGTTTTATCTATTTAAGTTGTGATTCTTGTTCTTGCCTTTATAATTATAATATAAATTAACATAGAGGATCAAGAAAAAAGAAAAAAAAAAGAGTTTTCAATAGATAAAACAAACAAATAGAAGAAAAAAAGTGTTGCCCAATTAAGAAATAAAATTGATATAACTTTTTAATGAATTAAAAAGGATGGGAATGGAAAAAAAATTAAGGGAAATGGAAATAGTATTTTTGAAGTAAAAATATATTTAGAATGGCATAAGCCATTGATGCCTAATGCAATATTAGATTTTATTTTTAACTATTGCTAGGAAATTAGTAATTGATAAAAATAACTATTGCAACCCATTTCCCCTTTGGCGCTAATTATTTTTAATTAAGCATTCATCTATAATTTCCAGAGCTTGTAGTTGAATCGAGTGGCTCGACAAGAAGAATACAACGAGCTAGAGATCGCAAAATTATGATATCATTAAGACATTTAAATGCCTAGAAAATGGTCCATGATCAAGGGATTCAACATTGGTCGTCCGTCCAAATCACTCCATATTTATCATTGATCTTCCTCATATTTACGAGTCATACACTCTAGGAAACATATAAATATAGCACCCCCCCCCTGTCCTTATGAAGGGAGGCCTAAGTCAAAGGAAGAGAAGAAAGAGAGAGATCGGAGATCATTCTTGCCTCCTCGCTCCTCCTTGACCACCACTCGGAGTTCCGCAAGACCACCGCCTGATGTCAGAGTTTTCCCGGACAACCACCTAACATCGAAGTTCTGCCAGACCACCGCCTGGCGCAGGAGTTTTTCTGGACCACCACCTGACGTCGGAGTTCTGTCGGACCACCATCTAATGTTGTTGTTCTCGTTGTTCGGTCGGCTAACCATCTGACACTGGATATATGCCCGTCCACCAACTGACACTGAATCTCTGTCCAACCACCAACTAACATCGGATTTATGCCCGGACCACTGATTAACGTCTAAAATTTTGTCGGACCACCAACTGACACCGGACTTCTGCCTAACCATCGCCCGACGCCGGAGTTCTACCCGACAACTGCCTGTCACCAGAATTATGCTCGGCTACCAACTAACGTTAGACTTCCACCCAACAATGGTCCTTCTGACCTCTGTCGCCAGACTATAGTCTTTTTATACAGCTCAAACTCTAAACTATCGAGATATTATCTGATTTGGCCTAAGAGCCTCACAGTTTTATCATGTTGGTATAACTTCTCAGTAGGTCACCCATCCCAAAATTACTCTGAGATAAGAATGATTAACTATGGAGTTTCTTTAATGAAATTCTAACCATTACACCAAAATGTGTCTTGATGTTTAAGATTTCAACCTCTTTTACTTAAGGAGTTTAACATTTTCAACATCTGTCGTCTGCTGACTATAGTCCTTATGACATTCGTCACCCATCAACAAAGGTTTTTTTAGCTCCATCACTTACTGACTATGATCCTTTTGACCTCCTTCACCAACTGCAGTCCTTCCGACAAACATCACCAGACAACGGTCTTTCGGATCTATGTCACCAGCCGACAACGACCTTCCAACCTTCGTCGCCCATCAACTACTGTCTTTCTGACCTCCACAGTCATACAATAATCCTTTCGACCCCCATCGCCCACTGACTATGTCCTTCCGACCTCTGTCGCCCACTTGCTAAGGTTCTTTTGACCTCTATCGCCCACTGACTGTGATCTTTCTGACTTCAGTTTCTAGATAACGATCCTTCCTACCTCCATCCCCCTGCCAACTTCGGTCTTTCTGACCTTCATCGTCAGACCTCCATCGCCTATCAACTGTGGTCTATGTGACCACTATCACTAGACAACAGTCCTTCCGACCTCCGTCGCTCGCTGACTACAGTCCTTCTGAGCTCCATCACCAAGGAATGTCCTTCTGACCTCCGTCTCCAGAGAATGATCATTTTGACCTCCGTCACCCACCGACTACGGTCCTTCTGACCTCTGTCATCAGATAATGGTCTTTCCAACCTCCGTCGTCCACCGACTATGGTCCTTCCGACCAAATGAACATGTCAACAGTGATTCTTCTTATTCTCACCATGTAATGCACTCCATATGATGTATATTTGTTACATCAAGTCAAGGCCTTCCCCCCAAAGAAGAGCCTTATTTGCAATCAACTACAAATACTAGTGGATCATTTCAAACTAGGCTAGGTCCCATGATTTTTCCCCGTTTTCAAGGGTATAGTTCCACGACCTTCTATTTTATCTGATTGTGTGCTAGATCTTCATACAAAGCTAAGACGTTAAAATATATATATTTCACTACCGCCACGAATATTCCACGATGCAACAATATTTAATTTTTAATAAAAATAACATTTAATAAAATATATTCTTGTAGCCCAAATTCACTGCCCAGCCCAATATTTTTGCAACCTAACTCTCATTTAGTATTCATCGAGTTTTTTTTTTAGTTTTATATCATAGTGGAGTTTTAAGTAATTATTTTATATAGTGTAAAATACAAACTACTAATAACAAGCCAAGCTTTATGAGGTGGCAGCCATTTATTCTTGTTGAATTTACCTACATATATTTTTTAATGAGTTTCAAAAATTAAAAAAAAAAGTTAATTAAAAACAATATACTATTTAAATTCTATTAAAATAAAATATATAATTTTGTAGAACTAACAGGTTCTATAAAATCAGAACCAATTCGACGATTTTTCGGTCAAATTAACTCTTCAAACCAATTCAATCCAGTCCAACATGAATTCAACTTTTGAACATGATCAAACATGCAACTAGTCTAGTTCAAGGTCGAACGGATTGACCTAATCTGATTTTCAAAACGCTGAAAATAATGCTTTTCATGTGGCGTTAAGAAGAGAAATTTGATTTTACATGCCCGGCCCATAATACTCGAAGTTAGAGAAATATTTTAGGAAAATATATTTGAAAGATTCATTTAGACTAAAAGACCACCTACTCTAGATCATGGACTACTTATTTAAGTCCAATTTGACAAAAAATGATTCCAATACTTTAGAATAATATTTGATCAATATTAGAAACATATCCATTACCAAGTATAATTAAAACCCTAATTAAATATTAATCCTTCATCTATAAAAGTTTTTTCTATCAAACCCTTATTATAATTTTTTATAATCTCATAACCAATAAAATCACAACAATTATAATAAGTAGATAACAACTCTATTACAAAAAAATATATATAATTTTAACATTTATAACATTATTATATAATTATAACATGCCTAAGGTTTCATTTGGGACAACTTTTTTATTACTTCTTAAAATAGAGTTTTAGTACAAAAATTAGTATTAAAACTTTGTTTTAAGTTGCAATAAAAAAGTCATCACAAACGAAACCTAAATATGATCATATCTATGTCAATATAAAACGTGCTCTTGAAGATCATCAAGATTGAAATAATGTGTATCAATCAATAGTAGATGTTTTTTTTTTTTTTTTTTTTTTTATTTAATTCTTATGGCTTGTATTATGTATGGATGGGTCGTTAGATATGTATGGTTGTAAAATTAATGCACAAGAGAGGATTAGAATAATATGTAAGAAAAGCAACAATAAGCATAAAAGACAAATAACAAATCACACTAAGGTTGATCAAAATATTGTTGGTTGGACATTTATATAAGGCACGGATTTAATGTTACTAAACATGTAATTAAAATACTGACTTGAGATTAATACAAAATAACTGAACGTCATGTGCACTTCTATATGATTCCTTGATAGTGTTGCATTATTATAGGTTTCTAATAGTTTTCATAGATACTTCCACTTTATTAATCCATATGATTTCCTTACTATTTGGTTAATATTGTGATAATGTTTGGTTTAATAATGATGGTTTATAGTCTTACCATTTTGGCATCCATATT